AGGTCATATTTCATGCATTGCTGCAACCAATCTTACCAAGTCGTTACACAGTCAATATGCTAAATAAATAAACAAACATTGTTTAGATGCACACATTATTTCAGTATGTCATCATACTCTTTATACTGGTATCAAAATTACTGTGATAATAAATTACATATACTAGTAGGCCTACTAAGACAGACTTGTCTTTAGCAATACAAATAAGATTTGTGATATCCCTCTATCAAATACATCAATATTTATACCCTTTCGTGCCTAAATACATTTAATTACTAGTTCCTGTCTGGGTCTATTGTGTGATTGTTTTAGCACCTTTCACAATAGGATAGTTATATTGTTACGTAGTAGCCTACGACAATGTCAATGTATGAAATTATTGTTTTGACACACCACTCACTTACCTTCTTTGTTTTACGTTTATGTGTTTAGATTATTGAAACTAATAATATTGATGAAATTTAATGATCAACCCGACGTTATACCTATCAACACATTCTAAATACATGTTGTAATCATTCTGATAACAATTGTTTTAATATCTCCATCCGTCGAAATGTACGCCAACACTATTTTCACTCGTCACATGTGTTGCTCTTTATTGACTGTACAATGTTGACACAACAATGTACACCTTTCGTCACCTTTCAATCACAAGTTTTGTGTTTATTATTCTTTTTATTATTAAATTATTTCAAAGAAAGAGGACCAATTCAGTACTTTGTCTATTCTTAGACAGAAATACATGAAAAATATCGTATCCGCCGCCATATTGGCCATCGCAGCTTTTGATTGGCTATTATTTATTGACGAAGCCAGCGGTTGTTACGGAGATTTATGATTCGATTCCTTCGCTTTATTTTAAAGAATTGTATTTCCTGTTGACATCAAATACAATGTTTATCATTGAAACTATTAAACATTGTCACAGCCAACACAGAGAAAGTCGAAAAACAAAATATTAATACATGTTTTGCTTTTCACAACTTGTTTAATTTTCAGTTTTCCTTTCGAAGCTCACAATGCGAACACGTGTTGTGTTGTTTTGAAAATGCTTTGTTTACCGTTGATATCGATGCCTGTTACCTACTTCGCCCTTGACAATGTACGGCGAAATGAGGGCGACTTCAACTTCGCCCTATTGCCTTTTAGGGCGAAGTCATCAATGGGTTAGGCGACTATTTCCCACGTCGCCCGCTAATTCGAGCCCTGCTTGCGTGTAGGGGTCTTTAGCAGTGGGAGGAAACCGGAGGACCCGGAGAAAACCCATGAGGTTGGACAGACGACCCTACTCCTCGTCATGTACAACCGGGGATTTGAAACCACGCCAGTTAACTCAATGACAGGCCTTAGGATACAGCGCGCACGTGCTAACCATTCGGCCATCCAACCCCCCGAAACAAAATATAGATCTTTATTTTAATCAGATGGATCATGATAAAACCTAATACTTATGTCTATGTATAATCGTCGCCTGTCCAACCTCGTGGGTTTTCTCCGGGTCCTCCGGTTTCCTCCCACTGCTAAAAGACCCCTACGCGCAAGCGAATTATTGAAATAAAATTTAAAAACCATATGTTAGTCCCGAAATGACCTAGTTTGTGTCGAGTGGACGTTAAACCCCATTTCTCTCTCTCTCTCTCTATGTATAATCAGGGTTTTGTGTGGTCAAATGGTATAAGGCGTGAACTTTAGATTATAAGTTCTGTCATTGAGTTTCGATTGCTCAAGTAGGGTTGTCTCAGGTTCCTTGGTTTCCTCCCACTCCTAAAGACCGCTATGCTTAAGGGGAGGCAAGGGTCGACAAATGTCAATTTTGACTCAAATTATCGATTTTTTATATTTGCATATTTGTGATGTTCATTCATTTTTATTTCACTTGTAATTAAAGAAAATACATATAAAGTGGTTTATGATAGAAAAAATGCACTTTTGAACACTCATGCAATTCAAATTTTGCTGTTTTACCTCTTTATGTCTTAATTTCTCAAAAAGTAAAATATCAACAGTCGACAACCTTACAAAAAATTGTTCTTGAAAAGTTTACAACAGATATGTCTGAAACTTACACACATACTTAAGTAATGTTAGTTCCATGCAAATAAGGATTTTCAGTACTCTAAATGAATTTTTAGTGTAGTAAATTGGCATTTGAAATCTCTCATTGAAAACAACATTTTTCATAATTTTTGTTTTGTTGAATAGATTGACATGCAAGGACACAATAACAACACCATATTGATAATTGCACAGAGAAATGTCCTAGGAACATTTTTAAAAAAGTTCCAGGCTTCTACCTTTGATACTTTCAGAGAACGATTTTTTTTAAGCAGTAAAAATGATTTTTTTTGTTTCCATGGTAACCAGTAAAGCAGATTCCCCCCAAACTGCCGATTAGCCTATTTTGTCGATGTGAACAATTCCTGAAAATTTCAAGTTGATAGCATTATTAGAAGCCAGTTATTTAAAAATTCATATTTGTCGAGCAGTGCCTCCCCTTAGGAGAATTAATGAGGTAAAATTGAACCATATGTAACTCCTGAAATGACCTGAAATGGACATTGTCTGAGTGAAGAAACTGGACTTTCAATAGACTAAACAAGATATTTCTACCTGCATAATTATATTTCTATAATATTGTTTATTTTTACAGAATTACGAGATAAACGTTTTTTTACTCCAATTCACTTGGCTTCTAATTCTGGTAACCATGGTGTGGTCACGACCCTAATAGAGGGAGGATCAGAGGTCAACAGTAGAGGATTTATGGGATTGACCCCTTTACATATAACAGTAAGTATTTTGTTAACTTTTTTAGTGATTTGATTCAAATCTGCAAAGAATGATTTAGAAGAAATGAAATGGGGTTGAATGTGCTACTTTTTCAGAACTTTCCAGGCTATAGAAGATAGGCAGACACAAGGCATTGTGCTATGAGGCAAATGCTGGTGTTTGGACAAAATTATCACACTTGTGAACATAGATCAATATATTCTACTAGCGGTTGACCCGACATAGGACTGGTATAGCTACAAATCGGAAATAGCATAACTCTGAAACCGGAAGTGGGAGGCCATTGCCACCAGGCCTACGTTACTCCCGAGCTACCCCTATACACCAAAAGTTCAGTGCCGGGAGAGCCCTAGTGTAGCCACCAAATCTGAACAGATAGACAAACAAATGACAGTCACAAATATTAGTATAGATAATTTTCTTTAAATCACATAATTTCACAGATAAAAATTTAGTTCTAAAACTAGGTGTGCCACTCCTCGGTCCGAGCTACCCCATACACCAAATTTCAGCCCCAGGACAGCCCTAGTGTAGCCACCAAATCTGATCAGATAGACAAAAAAATGACAGTCACAAATATTAGTATAGATAATTTTCTTTAAATCACATAATTTCACAGATAAAAATATAGTTCTAAAACTAGGGTGTGCCACAAGGACTATGTTACTGCCCGGCCCAAGCTACCCCTATACACCAAAATTCAGTTCCGGGATAGCCCTAGTGTAGCCACCAAATCTGAACAGATAGACAAACCAAAGACAGTCACAAATATTAGTATAGATAATTCTGTTAAAATAACATAATTTCACAGATAAAAATTTAGTTCTAAAACTAGGGTGTGCCACCAGGACTAAGTTACTTCCTGGTCCGAGCTACCCCTATACACCAAAATTCAGTACCGGGACAGCCCTAGTGTAGCCACCAAATCTGAACAGATAGACAAACCAACGACGGTCACAAATATTAGCATAGATAATTCAGTTAAAATAACATTATTTCACAGATAAAAATTTAGTTCTGAAACTAAGATATGCTTCTCTTGAATTAAGTTAGTAAAAGTTGTCCTGTGCATGTTTTTTCTTCCACAGTCCCAGAAAGATCACCAGAGAGCAGCTGTAGTTTTACTAGAGAATGGTGCTGATGTGACATTAGTTGATGACCAGGGTAACTCGGCTGTTGATCTCGCCAAGAGCAAAAAAATGCGAACAACATTAAAAGAAGCATGGTCAGAAGCGACACAAAAAAAATCATCTCCGAATCTGGCTCCTATTAAAGCTCCCAGTAGAGAAGAGAAGAAAGCTCCCATCCAGAAGAAGAAAGGAGAAGTTATATTTGATGTAAGTATTTTGAAGCCCATCTGAACATTTGTTTTGAAAAAGTGATAAAGTTAAAGCAGTTTGAGGGGTAGGTTTGTTGAGGGATTGGGTTCTTTTTGTCCCATTCGATTGACTAGACAGAACTTCACTTGTCAACCCCACAGCTCCTGACTTGTCCTGTGAACCAATAATTTTGTTTATCAAATAGTAAAGATACATTATGTCCAAAAGTCATTTCTAAGCTCATTAACCCTTAACCGGTCATTGTCTTACTATAATCACCACAACGTTATACAGCTAAGTGTTATTTAGTTTCGTATTTAACTGATATGACATGGATGCGTGTCAGACAGGAACTTGTCTTGTCAAGGGCATTGAGAAAAAAAAACATGTCTTTGTTCAACATTTTTTGACAAAAAACGTAATTGAATGATGTCAGGAAGGTTAAAGACTCTCAAGGTCGTTTAAAATGCTTATGAATGATTCCAACTCGGATTATATCGATGACACTGATTGGTGTAAACAATCTGTCACTTATAATTATCCGGCATTAGTCGATTGAAATAGGCATACAAAATATTTCACTTTAGCCTTTATTTAGCCCGACCACTTGACGTCATGAAGTCAAAATGACGTCGACCGGTTAAGCTTTAATAAAGTTTCAGGTCACACTAGTACAGATGTTAGGCACAACACCTGGTTCGAACATGAGAACTCGTGATTAATGAGTGAGTTGGCATCTTGTTCTACGAGCCAGCTTCCACAGGTGGCCATTTTAGACTGATGACAGCCCTGTAACCACAAATGTAACCGAACATTTGATGAATACGTTTACTTTTTAAGATTCTTTTTTATTGAGTCAGAGTTTTATGTTGTTGATTTAATTTTTTCAGGGTTTGGTAGTCATGACAACACCTGCTCAAACATCTAGTAAGTGACAAAATTACTGTGTGTGATCTTTTGCAATTCACCATATTGAATCAATTCTTCACAGTACTATTTTGTTCTTTTATCTTATGGAAATATGACCAATAACATTGTTATAGACCAGTAATGTTGAATATGTATTTTTTAATAAAATGGAGATTTGTAATAATTTATATTTTTTTTTATAGGACCAGTGATGTCAAGATCAGGAACAACTCTCAGTAATGCTGATAAAGCTCGGAAAGCTGAGGAACAGATGATGCTAGATATTGATCATGGAACTTTTACTCACATGCCCAACGTCAAGTAAGTAATACACACATGGTCACACTATATCCACGTACCACACTAGGTCCATATACCACACTAGGTCCATGTGCTACTTTTTCATGCCACACTAGATCCACATACCACACTAGATTCACATACCCACATACTACGAGATCTGCATACCACACTAGTCTACATACCACACAAGATCCACACGCAACTCTGTTTAAATTGTGGCTTAATATTAAATGTTATATTTTAACAGAGAAGGGATGAAACGGTTGAATGCATTAAGGGGAGGCTGCAAATCCAAATCCTTACCAAAAGTATCGAAAAGCTGTGTGTCGCCGTCCGAGAGTTTATCACCAGAACTTTCAGAAGGTCGACGAACCAGACAGGGAGGAGAAAATGTGCGACGATCTTTAGAAGATGGGAGAAATATCACTACACCACGGAAATCAGGTGAGTTCTAGTTTGTCAGATATTCTCGACATGTCCCATCCTTAAAAAGGGGTGGATGATCAAGTGATCATAAGGTCTGTTATTGAGTCAAGTTTTTTGTAGTCAGGTATTTGTTTTTTATATACAATATTTTATTCTCAGAACAGGATTAAGGAACCGGCTATACTGTTATACCTCTCTCTTAGTCGGGGACCAACTGATAATTTCGATAAAAATTACTGAATTATATATTGTATTGTTTATCTGTGTATTTTAGTAGCATATACACCAGCAAGTAGAAGTAGAACAGGAACGACATCATCAATAGAAGACCTAGATCTCTGTATACAAAATAACAGGTAAATAAAATCAACCTTATCTCACTCTAGGACCAGTAGCAACTTGACCGTTGAGCTATCCCAACCACTGACAACCATAAAACTAGTATGACCGTCCACATCATAGATCGGGGGTGCGGGGGGGGGGGGGCTGAATGGTTAACACATGCGTTTTGGATCAGAAGGTCATTGAGGCAAGTGACATGGTTCCAATTCCCCGCTCATGACAATGGAGTTGGGTCGCCTGTCCAACTTTGTGGTTTTGGTCGAGTCCTCTGGTTTCCTCCCACTGCTAAAGACCCTTGTGAGCAAGCAAATTATTGAAATAAAATTGAACCATGTGTTAGTCCCGAATTTAGCTAGTTTGTGTCAAGTGGATGTTAAACCTCATCTCTCTCTCTCCACAGTGAATAAGGTGCTAGCTCAATAGCCACAATATGTAAAATATTGTTTGGCCTTTGAATGTCCCTTGAGGGATTGACCAATCCCTTGCAAACTACAATATTTTAAAAGAAGTTGAAACACTTAAACAAATATCAATCTAAAAATAGTTCAGTTCCATTCAGTATTTACAAAGATGCAGTGCTTTGAAAATTTGTCAACATTCAGGCGATATAAATAGGATTTAGTATAAAACGAGTGACCCATATCTAACATTGAAAGTTTTGAGTTTATTTTTTGTAATTAAAGATACATTATGGGTGATGAGATAAAGAGCTGGCAGTTCTCACTATTATAGTTAAAAACTAGAGAATGTAAAGGGAATTTGCTGAAAATTTCAGTCACATTGATCCACTCTGAACCGATATTTTAGCAATTGAATTTCCGGTCTAGCCACGATCATCATTACTAAAGTCGGTACGATAAAAAAAACATAGTCTTGATTATCCATTTCATGATTAAATTATGAATGGAAGTCGAAAGTGGATTAAGCTGTGGAAAATTTGACATTTTCAGAGACTTTTATGATATTTTAATTTATTTATTACAGATTATCTCCTGCTTCAACTTTTGAAAGAAGTAAATCACATCACAGAAGCGATTCCGATCCATTTTCATCTCCGAGTCTGTCAGAATTAACTGTATCTTATGATAATATTATCTCCCTTAGAAGAGGTCAGTATGTTTTATCATCATGTTGGTGTTCATGGATAGTTGAGCAATTGGGGCATTGTACTCTCTAGAGTAGCCCAGGTTCAAGTCTTTTTGTCGGTTAGAAGAACTTTGGTCGTAATCAAGCATGGTTCCCACATGCCAAGTGTAACACCTGGGGCCTGTTTCACTAAATTTTAACTAAGATAAAATCCAAATTTTAGTAATTTTATTGGATAATATTAAATTGATTTTAGTGCTTAGCCAATCAAAATTGAAGTATCAACTAAAATTTGAATTTTATCTTTAGTTAAGATTTCGAGAAACAGTACGTAAAAGAACCTTTGACAGAATTCAAGAAGAGTAAGGTGGAAACGCCACTGTCTGAGCGAAATTCTCCTCCCTTGCATTTGAGTGGACGTTAAACCCCATTTCTCTCTCTCTCCTCCCTTGCATTTTCATCCTAATTTTGCATATTACCAGTTGAGATTATGATTGGGTTTACCAAGTTTGTCTTGCCAGGTTAAAAGTGTCAAAAGAAAATTATGTTTTATTGAAACTGTGTATTTGTATGACCACAATTCCTCCTTTGGCTAAAATTCATCCCCTAATTCCTCTCCTGGCTAAAATTCCTCCCAAATTCCTCTCCTGGCTAAAAATCAGTAAAGGGATTTCAAAATTTTTCTTGTTGGACATTGTTACCAAAAATAAAGGGACATCACTCTTATCGTTATTTAAGCAGGCAGTTTTTAGACCACACACAAAAATCACATGCCAACAAAATATTAAAATTCGTACGTAATAAAAAAATAGGTGCACTTCGTTATTTTTCATATTTAATTTCCGTACGGTATTCAAATTTGTATCAGTAATAATACTACAAAATTAAGTGATGTTGTAATACGATAGAATGAAAGTGTACCGACTATACTGCCGATCGGTACAGTTTCAAATTCCTCCAAAATTACCATATTTTTCGGGTCATAAGTTTTAGCCTAAAATTCCTCCCAAATTCCTCTCCTGGCTAAAATTCCTCCCAAATTCCTTCCCAGGTTAATTCCTCCTTTGGCTAAAATTTCTCCCACATTCCTTTTTTGGGTAACATTTCATCCCATTTCCTCCCCTGACTAAAATTCCTCACCTTAGATTTGAAATTCTTCCCTCAGAGCCAAAAGCTTGCTGTTTGATAATCACTGAACTAAAAACATGCATGTTGTATTATTTTTATTTTTCAAGGACGAATTGAGTCTGATTCTACTACACAATTTAATGAAGAAACAGATGATGATGTTTTTAGTGGAGCACAGTCACGTGTGCTTCGTACACCTCTAGACCGCGAAATAACTGTTCTAAATATTCCAACCACAATCCCAGAATCCCTTAGTCCTCGAACTTGCCAAAAAGCAACAGTCAGCTATCTTGGTAAGCTTTAATACATGCAAAAGTCAAATTTATATTGAGTTCATCAGGATTTTCCATCATGGTTACTCCTTATCAGTGTGTTCGCCTTATTTTATATACTGTAGCCTTTCTGATTAGTGGGAGTTTGGTGTTCTAGTGGTTTAATGCATGAGTGTGAAATCACAAGGTCTATCATTAAGTCAAGAGGCGTGGTTTTGATTCCCTGCTTGAATATGACAAAGAGTAGGGTGGTCTGACTAACCTTGTGGGTTTTCTCTGGGTCCTCCGGTTTTCTCCTTAAAATAAAATTGAACCATATGTTAGCTCTCTCTCTCTCTCTCACTCTCTCTCTCTCTCTCAGTAGCATTATGTGTTCCAGATAGTAGTCATACCTTGCCTTATGTATGTCACAACTATGGGACAAAAAATGGTTCCTATACCGAATATAGTGAGAAAGAAATAGACATATCAAGTATTTTAAATCATAAAACAAAATTGAAATTTACACTTTTGATTTTGTTATTTGTATATTTCGTAGATACCAGCAGACACCAGACAACAGGTAGACAACAGATGTCAACACCAATTTGTATATCTCAGAGATCGTACAGTTTTCTTGATGCTAAACTGGTTGATGTGGAAGCAGGTGGAAACGGTTCAAAGGTATGTGTGATCATTGATATGACAATACTGGGTATTACCTCTCTATTAGAAGTATGGTTAATGTGATTTATTTTCTCTGGATTTTGTGGGTCAGTAAGGCCCTAACTCATTTACAAGGGGATCCCGGGTTTGGTCCCAGTGCTCCTTGGGATTTCCCAGCTTTAGTTTCCCCATATTATTATTAGTGTCGCATCATGAAAGCTGTGGCAAGGAACACCCTCTAATCATTTGCATGGTCCCTAAAGCATATTGGTGTGTGCATAAAAGAATCCTTGATAGTTGGGGTTTGATGAAGAGTAATGGAAAGGCTGCTGTCCAGGGAAAATGTCCTTAATAGAAAATTGCATGACATATTCCATTCTTTATTAATTAAGTAGAACTTTCCGATGGATTTTCTTTGAATTTGAGATTTTCTTCCACACATATAGATCCTATCATGTGTAATACGGATATACCATGTGCTGATCCCATACCTGCTTTGACTGGTTGTGAGAACATTCTACACTCATTATGGACATTCTGTGATGACTGGTTAATGGAAATTCCATGATGACTGGTTAATGGGCATGCCATTACAGTTGGTTAATGGACATTATATGACAGCTGGTTAATGAAAATGCCATTACAGTTTGTTAATGGACAAACCAATACAGTTGGTTGATGGACATTATATGACAGCTGGTTAATGAACAGCTGTTAAGAGATTACAGAGCAAGTACTGAATTTTGTAGAAATCATATTTATACTTCCAGGATTCATCACCAAGGTCAGATGAAGAAGATGTACCATTGAGTCGGGCCGGATCGCTCAGATTAATAATGGCTGCAGAATTACTACGCAATCGTTCTTTACTTAAAGAAGAATTTGTTCTGGAGGAAAGTCGCACAAGAGATCCGATGATGCAGTCATCGGGAAGCGATCCATTATCCAGTGGCAGCAGTTTAGCATCATCTCCACGAGATACAGGTATTAAGACTGGACTATCTGTTTCAAGCAAGCTTCCTGGAATAGACGTTCGCACCAACGGCATAAGTAGTGGAGGAAAACCTGTCAAGCGTAGTCAGAGTTTCACGCAAGGACTAAGAGCAGCCAATCAGAATAAAGAAATTTTTAGTGTACAGCGTCTTTCAATGAGGAGAGTAAAGGGTCAAATGCCAAAAAGGGACAATGTGAACAATTCTGTGGGTAATTCCAGTAGTGTTGCTGAATGTGAAAGAAGTGTTGATACAAATGTTGCGCATAAACTTGAATCACAAACTTCGAATGTTATAAATGAACGAAACAATGATTTAAAAAACATAGATGAAAACGACAATAAAAAAAATGATATATGTGATGTGAATAAGAATAGTAATAAAAAGTGTGAAATGAGTAACAAAAATAGCAGTGCCATGAATTTGAAAGGAGCGCAAACAAATGTCTCCAAAAAACAGGTAACAAAGCCCCAGGTGAAAACTGTGGACAGTGATGCTGAAAAATCTTCAAAAGCAAACAAAAACTGTGTCAGTGATGCCAAAAAGACAAAAAAATTTCAAAGCGGAGCAAAAGATCTTACTGTGAAAAATAAAACTGATGAAAACAGCAACTCAGATAAAAATTTAACTGATAATCCAAAATCAAAACCACAATCAAAAGATTTCAAAGTTTCTTTTAAGACTCAGATTGTTTCACCTGAATCGTGCACCACTCCGAGTGTGACGTCTGCTAAAACAAGAAGCATGTCTGCTGTTTCATCAAAATCTGTTAATTCAACCATTAGTGCTGCATCATGTAAAACAAATGTGTCATCTGTTGTCGGTAATGTTGGGGAGGCGGTAGTAAGAAATCGTAATGTGTCTGCTGTGAGTTCTAAGTCTGTAAATTCTTCAAATTCTGACCAAAGTTTCAAAAATGGTGATAAAGCTAAAACAGCTGTTGATGTAGAGAAAAATAAAGCTTCGGAAACCCAAAATGATAATAGCCATCAAAATGAAAATGTAGTAGAGAGCAGTAATCGCGATAAATCCAACTCAAGTTCTTTCAAACCAGTTTCAGTAGTTGCAAAATCAGTTAAAGACAGTCAACTCCAAACCCTTAAAAACCAAAACACTAACTCAAACCCATCTGTTAAAACTGACTGTCCGAAGCCAACTAGTGTTCAACAATCATCAAAACCCAGTGTTTCTTGTCCAACTAAAAACAAAATTCCTGCTAAGAAAGTCTCATCTTTGTTAAAAGTTATGGGTATAAAGACTGCTTCAAATGTTAAAGAATCTTCAGATTTCCAACAAACTTCTAAAGTACAAATAAATCAGGGTAAAAGTAGAAATCCTCAAATGATATCTCAGAGCTTGACCAGCATTCAAACTCCTAAAACTCCCAGAAAAGATGCAGTTATTACTGTGCCATCAGCAGCTACTACTGCTGCTTCTGGGAGTTCAGCTGCCGTCTCAAGGAAGTCTTCTGCAGCTTCAGGGAGTTCCTCTGCTGCTTCAGGGAACTCCTCAAAAGCAGGATGTTCACAGAAGTATAGAATAAACTCTGCAGGATCCCAGTCGAGTGTACCACCGCCTAAACGATCTGCATCACCTGCAAAAATGATTTCTGTTCAGAAATCACATTTGATGCCAAAGACTAGTGCTAGTACGAACAATAAAAACTCTGCTCGATCTTGTACCATCAGTGGAATTCAAGTGACCTTATCTGAATCCAGTACTCCAACTCCAGATAAAAGTGTAAAAATAAAAACAGAATTAAGGAAATCTTCTTCCAGCTCAAGCATTAATGCCCATGAAGAATCTTCCGGTTTAAAAACCTCCAAATCTGAATCTCATATACCCAAATCTTCCCACAAGAAGAAGCATTTAGAACCCAAAGAACCTCTTGTTCGTATATCTGTTCCCGGTGAAGAGCCAAAAGTGAATTTATCGCAACAGAATCTGAACGATTTTCTCGCAGAAATGCACACACCTGTGATCGTTAATCCATTTGAAAATTTTGTTGCTCATAACAACGAGGATGCAGAAAATCTGAATCGTGTTTCTGAAAAGAAACCTGACTATTCAATCGCAAAATCTAAAAAGGATGCCACAGTAAAAAATAAGACCCAAACCAAAGCAAAACCTATAAAGAGTGCAAGAAAACCCAGGGCACCGTCGTCAGCTTCTAGTCGACAGACTTCTGCTGGCAAGAAAAAAGGTGGGAAATGTAAAACTTCAAATAACACTGATCAAGTTCGTCCTAAAAGTGGCCGAGTTCCAAAGAGAGTCAAGTCGGCGAAGCGCAGCAAAAAGGGTACAAGTTTAGCTGACCATGCTGCTAAACATGATGTAGCATTGATTTCTGGGATTGGTTGGCAGTTAGCCACTGGTTGCATTGACAACTCTGATGTTAAAGTGGCTACTTTCATTGGTTCCGATTCGGATGTGTCAGACATTTACGATGATCCTGATATCAATACAGAACGTGATCTGTTACCGTCTCCATGTCCTTCACCTTTAACACCTGTCATTCTCCCCAGATACTGTGAGGTCAAATATGAAGATGAATCACCTGAAGTAAAATTTCCACCAATCTTTTCGGACAGCAACCATGACGATTTCAATTCAGATGGATATAATGAAATAACAGCGTCCCTTCACAGAGAAATACTGAGGAACAAAATGACTCCAATTCCAGAATCTCCTGGGAATTCGTTAGGTTCCTTGGTAACAAAACCCAAAGCAAACTTTTATGAAGCTATAACTGAAGATATTAGCCCAGGAAACCAAGCAAATAGGGATGTTAGATCAAAAAACTGTATAAACTCTGCACAACAAGGTGAAGGTCATTTAGAGGGTAATCAATATGAATCTCAGTCAAAATTTAAGGAGTATACAACAAATGATCGCAACAGCAGATCTGGTTGTGTTTCACCAGAATCAGATGAAAATGAAGAAAATATTAACGAGGTTATTGACGAAATATTAAACCTGACCTCATCATCCTTGAACTCTACACTGAAATCCAACAAGTCGATTAGATCTACCAACAGCACTTTAACAGATGTTGATGCACGAATATTGCGCGAACTTCGGAAACCTGTTGCTGGTTTTCATGCTAAATGTGCTGAAAGTGATGATGATGATGGTTCAGATGAATCTATCATCGAGGTAACCCCACCAAAGATCAAGGTCACTTCTCAAGCAGATGATGAAGGTTCAAAGTTTAATGATGAAGTTAATGTGCGAGCAGAAGCCAAAGAGTTAGCAAAGGTGAGTATCACATGAAGTGGATTTGGTTTTCGTGAAAAGTGTAATCAATTAAGTCATTAGCATTAGCTTCCTATAAATTCCCAAAGCTGCAGGAAACTACTGCTCCCTATATATTCCCAGAACAGCCAGAAACTAGAGCAGGACCATAACTAGCTCAGAGCAACGAGGGGGCCGGGAAGTGTTCTCAGGGGTGCTGTAAAATTGACGAACAATATATATCTATTGGCAACAATTTTTTCACAAGGGTGTCGAAACTTTTTGCAGGGGGGGTGGGGGTGGGGGGTTTCCTGGGCCCCCTCCCTAGCCTGAACTATATCCTCAAAATGGCCCCAAACTGTTTTTCCCAATAAATTCTCAAAACCACATGAGCTACAGATCCCTGTAAAGCATCCAGTTGGCCCAAAACTACTGCTCCCTATAAGTATAAAGCCGCAAAACTGCTGGAAACTACTGCTCCCTATAAAGCCCCCAAACTGCCGGAAACTAATTCTCCCCATAAAGACCCAAAACTTCCAGAAACTACTTATCCCTATAAAGCCTACAAACCAGTGATGGGATTTCAAATTTTTTCTTGTCAGACATTTTACCGAAAAGAAACCCCCCAAACGGCCTGAAGTTATAAAGCTCCAAAATACCGGGGTTATTATGCCCGAGAGGGAGCAGTACTTTCAGACCGTAAAGGTTAGTCACTATATGCACAGTGATTTAATTCATTGGCAAAAGTAATGCTGTTGTCAAGGTGAGATGCATTTAAGTGTTTTGATTTTAGATTTGTTTTTAATTTATTAAAGTTTTCCTTTGCTTTTCAGGTTGTTCGAACATTTGGTAATCTTGAACTGCATGCTGGTGGATCTTTTAGATCAACTAGTAAACGGTCTGGGCGACGAGACTATCCCTCCATACAACCAGACTCAAGCCTTCGGAAGCCTCCTTCCGGTCGCGCTTTATCTCCAGGGATCAGAGGTCACGGTCGTTTCCAAGAACTCAAACCAGTCAGTCCAAGAATGAAAGAATTAAGAATGGTAGGCATACATAGTTTGGTATTTAGACATAGATCTTTCATTTTTCAGAAAGACCTTCCTCTTGTAAATATGCTAAGCTTCACCCACATTTTCTGGAATTGAATGACAACAATTATTTAAGCAAGTTATTGAGCCTTCATAATAAGCATACTTGTTTTAAGTGCCCGGACGTTTATTAACTCCAATATGATACTAACTTTTTCGAGAGCCATGGTGGCTCAGTGAGAGAGACATTGGCTCAATAACCTGGAGGTCCTATGTTCGCTCCTTGGGTTGGTCAAGAATGTTTATCTGGATTTTCTAGCATTGACTCCCCCTTGTCAGTGGTGCAGGGCCGAGGGCCATGTATAACAGCCCATACTTATTATCATATTATCGTAGGATGCCAGTCAAATAAGGCCATATAACACAGCCCATACTTATTTCTAGAAGGGAAAAGGCTGTAGCGCCGCTGTAAAAGCAAAATTTAAAAACATTAATGAATGTCAGTCTCAAAGTATTGTTTTTACAAGACTCTAAAGCCCATTTCAGTCCACTAGGCCTACAACTTTTTAATTGTTTTCCTTCAATTCTAGAACACTTGATACCACCTCTCTGGTACTTTTGTAATTAAAATAAAATTTATCTACAGGATCCAAGACGATCGTCGGAAAAGAAATCGCCAGAAGATGCAGTTTTAGAACAGTTACATGAAGTAGTTGATGCGGAAATGCTCGTCCAGTCTCTTGTTCATGTTATTAAAGAAGATGCGAACAATTCTAATCAGGTAGGACTTTTCTAAAATAGACATGAATTAAAGAGAAACGGAATGAAATGAGGTTTAACGTCCTACCGGTCTTCTCCGACTGGGCTAATGAAAGCAGACAGACAGCATGTCGTGTGCTATGTACAAAATTTTGCACGGACAGCGGCAGTACAGCCTTCTCTTATATCAAATTCCAACTGCCAATGGATATTTTACATGCACGCTAATCTGTGCACGGGACCTCGGTTTTTCATCCCGTCCAGACAACTAGACAGCTGTCCTTGTTAAGCCCTCCATCTTGCACCACTGACAAGGGGAAACCACGCTGGAAAATATTGATGAACTTTCTCGACCAGTGCAGGGATTAAACGCGTGACCTCCAGGCTAGCGAGCCAGCGTCTTACCCACTTAGCCACCGTGGCTCCCTGAATTAAACAGAAAAACCTGACCGAAACATATTTTAAAATAAAATATCTATTTATCCCTTATTCCAATTTCCTAACTCATTTGGTTTCGATAACCCGGTTGTACATGACAAGGAGTAGGATCGCCTGTCCAACCTCATGAGTTTTCTCTGGGTCCTCTGGTTACGTCCCACTGCTAAAGACCCCAACGCGCATGTGAATTATTGAAATAAAAATTAACCATATGTTAGTCCCAAAATAACCTTGTTTGTGTCGTGTGGACGTTAAACCCTTCAAATAACACAGTATGGTATATGCCTGTCTAAATTATCCTGGTTGCTGTATGAAATTTGTTATTTTTTTAGATCAGCCATTTATCCCAGAGAAGAGGAAGTGGTGCCAGTTCAGCTTGTACAAGTGACAGTTTAACCTCGACTATAGATGAGACTATCCAGTGGAAAAAAGGCAATGTTTTAGGAAAAGGAGCATTTGGAGTGGTAAGATTTACATATTATGTAATTGTCCCCACCTTGTGGAGAAACTATATGGCACTATTAAAATGGATTCATCCATCTGTCTATTACATGCTTCGAAACACCATAACTCTACTTCTCATTGGGGTAAAATATTCATACTTGGTATAGATATTTCTCAGGTGAATATATTGACTGGGTTTAAGCAATTTGTATGTTGATGCTTTGGAACATGATAACTCTGATTCTATTTGAGTGGCAGTTATAAAACTTGATGTATAGTTTTATTACATCAAAACCTTGAGTAAGTTAGATAATGAGTATTTTCAATCTTAAAATTGTACACGGCACAGAATCGGCCATCTCTAATAGAAGGCTTGATCTCGCTATAACTCTGTACATCTTATCAAGGCCTTCGCGTAATACCCTGCATATTTTGGCACTAATTTCGATTGGGTATTCACCCAGCTTGTGAGCTGATCAGATTCCTTGATCATCCCGAATACTAAGTCTCGCACTTTCCAGCTAAAATGTCTACTTGTGATAATCAAGTTGCAATGTTCAAGGTTCGTTCAATGTCAAGGTTTACGTGGAGGTCGCTATGTTTGATTGGAGCGTGTTTGAGTCACAACCTCTGATTGGACGCCACTGTTCACATGTCTGCAATAAAAGAAGATATCATAGCTATAAGTTTGGGAATTGTACAGCAATCTAGCAACGTCTAGATGTTGTAAAAAATCACAGTCGTTGCTTCAGGAACATGGGAGTCGAATAGCTTCCTAACCTAAAATGAGTGCTCACATTATTTCATACATCTTTTTAAGTTCAGGTTGGCCGTAACAATCTGGAGGTTAGGATACCTTGTACATGTTGGTATCAACGTAAAAGAACCCCTTGCAAAGTTTTCTCCTGCACATACTCCTCGCAGTGTTTCGTTTGATTAGAGCTAATCCCACTACTCACTGCTGTAAAGAAGGCAAATTCTTGTTCTAAATTATGACTGGTCAATAGTCCGATTAACAACCAATAGCTAACTGCGTAACAATACCAAACAGAGCTCCAAATTGGACCAAATATGTTTACATAATGTTACTTAATGACTCACGATTTTATTATGCCCAATTAACCAGTGCATAGCAGAATAATTGTGTGAAAAACGAGGCTATCAGCACGGATATAATGTAAACAATACTGTTTTGAGTCGAACAATACTTTCACTGTTTTTAATACCTTAAATCACTGTCCAAAGTTTTAGGGAAGGCCCCTGATTAAAAGAAGGGCTGTCATGTTACTGTGCTTGGGGATAGATTTGATTGAACGGGAAGAATAGCAATGGCCGGAGAGGGATTTCTCGGGCCATTGCTTCAGGAATATGCCTCATGCACTGCATGGTATATTCTGTCTTCATTAGCCTGTTGGTTGCAGAAAAGTAGAATGTTTCGATACAATTTCATTTCCTTTTTATTTTAGGTGTTTTGTGGTTTAACAAATGAAGGGGAGTTGATCGCTGTTAAACAAATTGAACTCAATTCCATGGATCATGAAAAAGCTCAGAGGGAGTACGAGAAAGTCCAGGAGGAAGTTGAACTCTTAAAGAATCTCAAACATCAGAACATCGTTGGATATCTTGGCACGAGTTTTGAAGATAGCATCGTCAGTATATTCATGCAGTTTGTCCCTGGTGGATCGCTGGCTAATGTTCTTGGTCGGTTTGGAGCGTTGGAGGAGTCAGTGTTTCGTCGATACACCAAACAGATTCTAGAAGGTGTTGAATATCTCCATAACAACGAGGTTATTCATAGGTAGGTTTTTGATGAGTGTACCAAGTTCTCTGCCCACGGAATAGATTGTGGGTTTAGTGGTACATTTCGGTGAAGGAAACTGTAATGATATAGAATTACAATGTGAAGATAAACAGCTAACTGCGTAATTAAAATGAGAATATCCCCTAAATGACCAAGTTTGTGTTTAGTCTATGTTAAACCAATGACGTGTAAAGGGTAGATACCTGATGCCAACAGTGCGAGAAATGTAACAAAGTTAACAGATAATTTAAATTTTAATTTTTTTTATTTCACTCTTTGATTGGATATATCCCAGGGGCCATCACCCTCTCTACCCCTACTCTCTGCTCACCACTGCGTTAAACTCTATTTCTGACTATATTTAGGGGATCACGGTGGCTAAGTGGGAAAGACGCTGGCTCGCTAGCCTGGAGGTCAGTTGTTCGATCCCTGCATTGGCCGAGAAAGTTCATCCAGATTTTCCGGCGTGGTTGCCCCTTGTCAGTGTTGCAGGACGGAGGGCCTGACAACGTCAGCTGTCTAGTCGTTCGGATGGGACGAAAAATCCAGGCACCGTGTACACATTGGCGTGCACGTAAAGTTGGAATTCGATATAAGAGTAGGCCGTAGTGCCGCTGTCTGGGCAAAATTTCCCTCATAGCACATTGTATGGTGTATGCCCATCTTCATTAGCCCAGTTCGGAGCAGAACAGTAGAACGTTATTTCATTTCATTTCTGACTATATTTTATAATAGTTGTTTTGTCTTACAGAGATATAAAGGGAGGTAATGTGATGCTGATGCCAAATGGTATAATTAAACTCATTGATTTTGGATGTGCCAAACGTCTGTGCTTTAACCTAAGTATGAGCCAATCACAGATTCTCAAATCCATGAAAGGAACTCCATATTGGATGGCACCTGAAGTTGTCAGTGAAACTGGTCATGGGAAAAAATCTGACATTTGGTGAGTACCTTGAGTTGTAGAGCAACAGTTGTTCTTCTATTTCTTTATTTTGTTGAGCAACAGTTGTTTGCTTTACTAGAGTTGTATAGGAAAAAAATGTTGTTCTGCTTTTACTTGAGTTGTAGAGCATCAAATGTTTTGCTTTGTAGAGCAACGATTGTTCTGATTTTACTTGTTATGCAAAATTTGATTGATGTTTTGTTGCTATGATAAATTTGATTACCTGTTGCTATGAAAAATCTGACTGATTCTCTGTTGCAATGATAAATTTGATTGTGTGTTGCTATGATAAATTAGATTCTCTTTTGCCATGATAAATTTGATTCTCTGTTGCTATGGCACATTTGATTGATTGCCTGTTGCTATGTTAAATTTGATTGATTGTTGCTGTGTTAAATTTGATTGATTGTTGCTATGGTAAATTTGATGATGTATTATTGTTATTTTAACAGGAGTATTGGTTGTACTGTATTTGAGATGGCCACCAGAAAACCTCCATGGTAATATTATTTTCTTACTAATAATAGCCTACTTTATGTATGAATCATTGAATTTAATTATCTCAACAGGTCTGTCAAAATGGCTGCCCTAACTAAATCTACCACCATAATTGTTTTCATTCGGGTAGTTTGCATAGGAACTGAAATTAACTTTTCTGTGAAGGGTTCCACATTTAGCGTAACTGGCATGGTTCCGAGGCAGGTTATTGTAGACTAATGTAAACAGGTTATTTTCTTGAAATTTATCGCGACCTGGTACGGGGATCATGATAGCTGAAATCTGCTGAAACATATTTGCTGTGTCTAATTACACTATTTCATTTGACAGAGCTGTTACAAGACAGAATTCAATGTGACTCAGTTTCTAGTCCGTGAATTTTCAAAGGTTTAAATTTATTTGTAAATGACTTAATTGTAGTTTAATCGTTTCAGGTCTAATATGAACCCTATGGCTGCCATTTTTGCAATTGGTTCTAATCGACCAGTGCCTGAATTAGCAGAAACATTTTCTCTTCTAGCCAGAAAGTTTGTTAGTGATTGTCTAACTCGGTAAGTTTGAAATAAAATGAAAAATGTTTTAATTTTCTATGTTTCTACACCAACCATGCTAATGAAAACTGTATAAGACATGCAGTTTGCTGCTATGTAATGGAGATTTTGCTCGGACATGGGTGTTTCTGCCTACCCTTCATCAAATACTAACTGTCAAGATTTATTTTACATGGCTAGACCTTGGCTTTTAATTCCATCAGAAGGACTATACACTTTTTCCATGCTATGTCCACCATCGTGCACCACTGACATGAGAAAATCAGACTGAAATATCCTGAGAAACTTTTTGGGCCAACTACACCGGGATCAAACCCCTGGGACCTCTTGATTATAGTGAGCCAGCGCAACTCTGGCTCCTTGTTAACTTTATGTAAAATATTTTTATTTTTTTATTTTAGTGATCAAAATGATCGACCATCAGCGACTGAATTATTGTCTCATCCGTTTATCATAAAGAAACCACCTTCCAGAAAATAACAAGTCAACTACCTCCACTGATGAAATCATTCTGAATTGCCATTAAATGAACAACCTCGCATGCTGAAAAATGTTTGATGTTCCTTGGACCTTCTCACACCCGAGATATGAGAATAGCTTTCTGTATCAAAAAATCATTTACTAGTTCATGTGGAGCCACAACTGTGTAAGGTAAAGGGTGGTCTAAGGTGCCCTCATCAATTTAAGTATATTATATTGTGAATTAAAATCATCTCAATATATAGAACAGCTGGTGGATTACATAAAAAGTACAACAAAAGTCTTGGTTATTCTGGTGCATTTTTTATTTGTTTGTGATGTGCCAAAATTTGAATTGTGATACTGAAATGCTGCTTGTAGGGAATATAATTCTTGGAACATGTCAACATGTATTATTTATTTTTAAACGTGGATAAAAATCCTATTATCGTGTAGGTTTGGAATAGAAGTATAAATTATCTACTGGTGATTCTGTGCAGTTACATGACAGAGGTCGATGTTAGCCATGTTTGAAAATGTTTTTTGAAAAATATGCTAGTTTAAATTGACCAGTGAATCCAGAGACATTTCGGTCATTTTTTATCTCAAGTGGTCATGACCGGCATATATAACCAAGCTAGAACCCATCCTGTCGAAGCTAATTAGAAATTAATGAACACCAGAGAAAATATATGAATATCAGTGGATACATCAAGTTTCTGGGTTGGTCGCTACTAAAGTGAGCTATTTATGCGTTTTCAAGAGAGTGATGTTTTAGAGAATGTGCAAGTTGAAAACTAAATAGAAGTATTTATGAATATTTTAAAAGTGTATGTGTGTTGTGTTTTATATCTTAGGAAATAATAAGTGTACCAAAGTTGAAACATATCAATTTGATATTTTATTTACTGCGTGCCTGGAAATAGGGATTTAACGAACTAGCATTTAACAATTTGAGCTTTGTGCGGGACGTATTGATAAAAGACAAATCTGTGCTGGACAAAATGACAGATACCCAAGGGATTATGACTGACAAAGTCTAAATTTTTTCCAGACAATGTCCAGGACAGGTACCTGGTTTCCAGGCTCATTATTTTATTTATTACAAAATTGTTGTACAAATTAGTATAGTGGATAGATAGCGTGCAGTTTTCCAGTGAAAACGATTTGAAAAGGGTGTTATATATATATATATAATCTGTGATATAAGCTCATATACATAACGACCTATGTGTGGAATTATTTTTTTTACTGCTGATGTGTGACCTTATTTACTGCTGTATGGATGCGGTTTACGTGATGCAAAAAAACCTAGAAGGCAATTACATTCAACATTTGTTTTAAAAGAATCACTGCTGATAAATTGTAACAGATTTATAATTATATTGTTTTTGATTATTTTAATTTTACCCTTTAGCACTTGGTACATGTAAATAAAGACTAACTCAGGTCCTTGAAAATAAATCAGAGAAAAGTTGTTAGGTTTTTTTTTCATGCCAGCTTCAGATCATAAGGTCTGTGTCATTGATACCAGTTTTATGGTTTTAATCTCATGCTTGTACATGATATGACACAATACAACATGACTGCTAGGTCGTTAATCGTTCACATCTATGCAAATGATTCAGTAAATTTGAAGCACTAAAAGGTAGAAGGAGTCTTAGGCAGGCCAAATGCTAAAGGGTTGAGTTATTTTTTGTGATTAATTTGATCATGTGTATATCTTGTTTATGATACAAATACGTTTTTTTTTTTGTTTTTTTTTTAATCATAACCATATCTGGGATTCCCTATTGGTGTTTTTATACACTTATTAGTTTTTTTTAAAATTGTTGTACTAACCTGTAAATATGTATAAATATATTTATAATTCCCCTATTAACTCAACGTCTTTCCCTATTAACTCAACGTCTTTCCCTATTAGCTCAACCCCTTTCCCTATTAACTTAACCTCTTTCCCTGTTAACTCAAACCCTTCCCCTATTAACTCAACCCCTATCCCTATTTTGTATAATGAGTGACAAAAGATTATTACAAAATATCTAGCTGTGGTAAGACTTTTTGTAAATAAATATTTTGATTGTAATATAATAATCCAGCAAATGGCATTAAAATATTCTGTGATGGAAATAATCAAATAAACAATCAGGGACAAATCCAGAACTTTCAGCAGGGTTGGGGAGGGGGGAGCAAAAATTTAAGATCTTTATATTTAAATGTAGCAGTGACAATTTGTAAGTGGCAAAGGTGTGAAAAGCACACAACTGGGGCCTGAGGGTATAACTAACCCGAGAAAATTTTGAAAAATGGAAGGCTGTGGATATTATATCTGTCTGTTTCGAACCCTGTTGACCACCACATCAAATCTGTAAATCAGAGTGTCAGAACTTCTAACTTAAAAGATAAATATGAAACAGTGTTGATAAAGATTATAGAAAAACTATGTTTTGTACAAAGTCCAAACTTTAATATAAATAAAAGAAAAACCTAAATCGTGGTGCAAAATTAATCTGTTATTTATTTTCAGGTATTAAAGGGCATCTAACGGAAACATATTTTCATAAACATAGCTATTTACGGTATTATCGTATATCTGTTTTAATCTGTTGTATATAACCAGAAAGTATTGAATACATCATCTAATACATATGTAAAGAGCTATTTTCTAAAACGCCATATCCATTTCAGGTTTTCGTAAAAAGACCATTAAGTTTTCATTCAATAAAACAAGAGCTAAATAAAATTTAATTTTTACCTTCTAAACTCATAGGCCACATTGGTTTGAACATGTTCTGTGGGAATGCTTATCAACTTTGTTTCTTGGGTTTTGTTTTTTTGAGGGGCGGGTAACTTAAAATACAAAAGGTCCTTGTTTGCTCCTCTTTAAGGCTTTTTTTTTAAGTTTTAACCAAAAAAAACAAACTAAAAGTTACTTTTTTTTTGGCCTAAATTGTACCTTAAATATCCGAGACAGGTACAAGAAGAAATATAAAAAAATGAGTTATAAAAGGCTAAGGCCTGAATGGTGGTTATTAGGTTTTGGAAAAGAGTTGTTTATAAATGAAGAAACCTGTATTGTTATCATATAGTTTTATTAACTTCATAATAAAATCATCTTTTACATTTTATATTGATTAATTTTTTTTTGGTATCTTTTCTGCAACCCCTGGGCTATAGATAACATGGAACCTAGTTTTTCATGCCATCCAAATGACTGGGAACTTCTCCATGCCCAGGCGGGGTTGGATGGCCGAATGGTTAGCACGTGCGCGCTGTTTCATAAGGTTTGTCATTGAGTCAACTGGCATGGTTTTGATTCCCCGGTTGTAGGTGACAAGGAGTAGGATAGTGACAAGGAGCAGGATCGCCTGTCCAACTTGGTGGTTTTTCTCCGGTTTCCTCCCACTGCTAAAGACCCCTATGCGCAAGCGAATTATTGAAATAAAATTGAACCATGTGTTAGTCCCGAAATTACCTAATTTGTGTGAAGTGGACGTTGGCACCATCATTTCTCTCTCCATGCCAGATCCTCCTACATGCACCACTGACAAGAGGGAAATCGGGCTGGAAATAAAATGGGGTAAAACCTTCTTCTGTGGCTCAGTGCGTAAGATGTAGTTTTGCTAAACTGGAGGTCCTGTGTTTGATACCGACCCAGGTGTTGGCTGAGAAAGTTCATCAGGATTTTCCTGCATGGTTTCCCCCGGTCATTTGTGTAGGTTGGATCATAGGATGAAAAATCAAGACCCCTTGTAGTGATTGGCATGCACATAAAAGAACTCTTGACAATTAGAATTTGAAATAAGAGAAGTCTGTAGCGCCACTGTCAGGGTAAAATTTCCATCACTGCAAAATGAATGACATATACCTGTCGATGCAGAAAAGTAGGATGTTAAACCCCATTTCATTTCTGTGGTTAAATGTGCATTTCCACATACATGCCAATATGTGGTCCTCAATTTTTTGCACTGCCCTAATGACTAGACATACTTTCCTTGCTATTCTGGTAGGCACCATCCCTGAAAGTCATCTCTGCTGTGATTATAAAGAGAATACACCATATAAGGCAAGAAAGGTTTTTAATCATTTAAAGTGTTTAAATAAATCAACAATAAATCGCAAGTACATGTAGTCTCGGTCATTCCGAACCAGATAGTCTGCTTCAACTACAACAAATATTAGTCTGGACAAAATAGTAGCCATTGTTTCTATGGTAACTGGAGCTCCTGGCTGTTTCCATATACAGTTCCACACAATGACATACATGTACACAAGATCCTCAAAATGACCATTGATACTTGATACAAATTTAGTGCTATTTTGACCAGACAAGATCAACTTTCAACAGGCTTCACATTCATACATAATTAATGAAAGAAAAAAAAATATCCATAAAAACAAGGGCAATAACTCTGTATAAAATTACAGGGATACACTGATTGTGGGTAGAATGTAACAAAAAAGGGATGAAATTATGCCAATGAGAGAAAAAGAATATAAATAAAACTGATGTGGAAAATTTTGAAGATATATTTTCCTTTACATATATAGGAGACTATAAACTGTATAATTAATATCCGATGTTTAAGTTGATCTTTCTTGGTTGTTCTAGGCTATACAAAAAAACTCAGTTTCTCAAGACAATCCTTAACAAAAATCTGATGCGAGAGGGAGGTTTAAATTTTTGCTCCTGAGCTAAATGACTTCTCATAGACATAGTTCAAGGCAGTACATTATTTCATCATGTTGTTTATAAGATTGTATAATTATCCAGTAATATTTATGATTGTCAGTTATATTTATAAGGGTTGTTAACTGGCCAATTGAGACTACAACACATTTCTGGAGTTACTTCCTGTACGTGCGGTAATTAAGTAACACATGATTGAATACATGACATAAATATTATAAGTGGCACTGTTTTTACAATAATGACATTTATCCCAGTACAATTAAACAATAAATATGCCACATCAGCATTAAATGTACAGAATGAATTTACATATTGGTATTAAATACACTTGAAGGAAATTTAAGAAAACAAAAGTAACAGATATATCATGAAAATATAACAAGAAAAAACATCATTGAATTAATTAATCATAATATTGAACAAGGTGGGGAGGTAAAAGAAAATAAATATAAATATAAAAACAAGGAAAGGTATTTTTCTTGGTTAATGTAAAACATGAAATTATCGTCTGCCATATTATTGGAGGGGTATCATATCCTCAATTTATTGTTTAATTTGGTTATAACCCAATTTTTAATGTATTGGAATATATTCGCTTGTGTATAGGGGTCTTTAGCAGTGTGAGGTAATCGGAGGACCTGAAGAAACCCCACAAGGTTAGACAGAGGACCCTACTCTTTGTCACTTACAATCAGGGAATCGCAACCACGCCACTTGACAGTGATTAATGAGCTAACAATTCTCGTTACCATTATTTGGGGAATAAAAACTGGAATTTAACATCCACTTGACACAAATCAGGTAATTTCTGAGAGAGAGAAAGAGAGAGAGGTGTGTCTAACTTCCTCAACACAAACTAGGTCATTTCAGGACTAACATGGTTCAATTTTATTTCAATAATTTGCTTGGACGTAGAGGTCTTCAGCAGTGGGGGAGAAATCAGAGGACCTGGAGAAAACCCATGGGGTTGGACAGGTGGTACTAGTACGACTGGAAAATCGAAACCACGGCAGTCGACTAAACCATTCCAATTGACTCAATGACAGACCTTATGTTCTAAAGCTCACCTAATAGCTTAAAAATTTCATGTTTCACTTCATATGAAGTTAAAAGTGCAAATGTCAACAAAAAAAACCCCAAAATGGACATTACTCGACTTTAATTCTATTTTCTAGTCGAATGGAAAAATAAACAAAACCTACGACAGCGCAAATATTATCCAATGTCATTCGTATCTGATTCCAATAATGGACGCCACGATTTGTCCAGTAAAATAAATCTCCGTCCACTACCAATGTCATAAAAATAACAACAAAACTTGAAAATAAACAAACATCTCGAACAAAATGTCCGGAAATAAAACTCAACGCACATCCAGCCAACGCTACAGTTGCAAAATATCTACTCCAATCTTCACCAGGAACATGGTCCATGAATGCCCTTCTATAGTCTGGACTATTATTCAGCGTATACATGTACGCAAAGAAATATATTCCTAAAAGTATCTCCCCTATTCTCTGCAACTGGTTCCTGCTTGCCACAGATTTCTGGTTGTCAAGGAAACTAGCAAACATGATATATATTCCAGCACAACCGACATGTCTTGTAGCAATGTGAATCTGTAACAGAAATAGAAGAATTAATTTCAATATCTCAATCCGATATGACAATAGGTGGGACATGTTTTTAGATGGAGTAAACAAATCAAAGTGATCAAGGGCCATAACTATGGCAGTAAATATCAGAAATCGTTGACAATCAGTAGGATTCTTCGTTTTGTGATCTTAAACACTGTGCATAAATTTAAAATCAATCGGATATTAACTTTAGCCTCTTCAGAGTCCACAACTAATTTCTAACAACGGACATATTATTGTGGATGTATAAAAATGCCCCCAGTTTACGTAATGTACTGTCTCACATTGATTTTTGATTGTTGAAATTTCATTTTCTTTTTAATCCAGTTTGGGGGATCGTGTGGGCGACTGATCAGACATACATGTATGCGCTTTGGATCATAAGTTTTGTCATTTTGAGTACAGTGGTGTGGTTTTGATCCCCCAAAACTCTCATCATCGTACTCAGTACCTATTGAAATTCTACATCATGTTTGAATATACAGATCACAATTCTATGGAATACAATTACTGCTTTTTACTGAGCGACGTTTCGACTAGGCTTCTCTAGTCATTATCAAGCTATGATAAAAAATGAAACGTATCTGATCAATGAGTTTGACTGCCACATCTCCATACTAAATGCCATTGAAACAGTTTATCAGACATCAGTATGGAGATGTGGCAGTCAAACTCATTGATCAGATACGTTTCATTTTTTATCATAGCTTGATAATGACTAGAGAAGCCTCGTCGAAACGTCGCTCAGCAAAAAGCAGTAATTGTATTCCATAGAATTGTGATCTGTATACTCTAGTTCAATTACTAAATGCCATTGAAACAGTTTATCATGTTTGAACATTGTACCTCAATTTGAAGTAAACTATTGTGTTCAAAGACGTGTGACAGACATACAAACCCATTTCAATGGTGCCCTGCTTTCTCTCAAAGAGGGATAGAGAAATGGGGGTTTAACGTCCACTTGATACAATGGGGTCATTTCATAACTAATGGTTCAATTTTATTTCAATAATTCTCTTGTGCATAGGAGACTCTAGCTGTTGGACAGACGACCTTACTGAATGTACAAGCAGCGAATCGGACGGAACCACACCACTTGACTCAATGACAGACATTGTAATATAACGTGCACACAGCATACTTAAACCTTTTGTTTCCTCAACCCCCCACTTTCTCTGAAAGACGGAGAACAAGTATAATGCCAATAGTTACAAACCCTGTGCCATTCTCCATAGTTGAGTTTAGCATTGGAATAGAAAGTGTATGCAAAGTAAAGCAGTTGGCCTGCGTAAATGAGAACAGCTTTGTTAGCCTGTAGTCGAATGGACATCAACACACCACAAACAACACATATACCCAGATTTATGTAGATTATGTGAGGATTTATTGGTGGAAAGCTGAAAATAAAATAAAAAATATAAAAATATAATATCTTAGATAAAGAAAACATTCAAAATTTTATAAAAGATAGGTTGCCAGGCAACAAAACATACGCCCACAGCAGCTTAATTGTCCGAGCAGTTGACCAGACATACAGATTGGATGATAACGTCATTTGATCGGTGTTTACAAGGTTCAACATAGTAAAACAAGGGAAATAACTCTGGAAGTTATTTATTATTAACAGACAATTCACTAATCTAAATAATGTATGAATCTATTAATACAGATCGGATGATAACTCGGCATATAAAAAGGATCCAGAATGCATTAAGTTGGTGTGGCCATCCTCTATAATTAAAACTTCCTTGTTAGATGGAGTCATCCAATATCAATGTCCAATCAAAATTCTACCTCTTTGCACACATAAGATATGCAAGTGTGACATGATGAAATGAAATGAAATGGGGTTTAACGTCCTACTCTTCGCCTGCACCTAACCTGGGCTAATTGAAGACGGGCATACGCCATACAGTGTGCTATGAGGGAAATTTTGCCCGGGCAGCGGCGCTACGGCCTACTCTTATATCGAATTCCAACTGCCAAGGGATCTTTTACGTGCATGCCAAAGTGTACACGGGTCCTCGGTTTTTGTCCCATCCGAACGACTAGGCAGCTGTTTTTGTCAGGCCCTCTGTTCTGCATCACTGACAAGGGGAAACCACGGTGACATGATGAAGTGTAACACTACAGATAATAGAACATCGGCATAATGATTGGAAATTTATTATGAACATGAAATAGAAATAAGTCGGAAGGAACTCTATTCCAGTCCAAGTCTGTTTAGTTAAATCTATCAGAAAAATTGTTGATTAATTTACTATGTCAATTATGTAGAGATCAGCAGCTTATATAGTATCAATAACATGTGGGGTTCAGTGTATCTAAATAAATGTTAGTCTTTTATATGTATAGAATCTAAATTTGTTAAAAGTTATGGAGGACTTTGTCAGGAAGTAAGGATGGACAGTTTTTTGGTTCAGATTATTGAATGGTGAAAATCGTTATAATATTGGGGATGTATTAAATTCACGCAAGCATATTCTTCTGATGAAATTGTACTACTAGTACTATAATGCATGTCATTTTTGTCGATTTCAAACCCCAGATCGAAGAATATTCCTCAGGACCTTGTTCAATTGTTGATTTGCCTGAGCCAAGGATAGGGCTCTGGCTGGCCTGAGACTCTCCTACTCATCTGTTGATGGATATTTTTATTTGGCCTCTGGGCATATTAAAAGAAATGGTATAGGCCGTGTTCGAACAATTCACAGGCTATATATATACCTCTCTTTCGGAGATCTTTCGGCCAGTAGCATAAGTAACGTCAGTGCATTAATGAATGGAAACTTAGCGAGCAAAAACTCAGAAAGAGTTTTGATCCAGCGAATCTTTTTACTGGCGATCGCCATTTTGTAAAGTCAAAATCTAACGTGGAAAATATTGCGAAACGTGCAATAAATTGTATAATGTGAGATCAAATTTCAATAAGAAAAAATAATTTGACAGTCTTTAATTATTATAGGACGTGGTCCTGTAAACAAAACTGAATTTTTGAAGTAGTTATCCCATTGTTTAAAATATTTTTAGAAGAAAGAAAGAAAGAAATTATGTCAAAGGGAGATTACTACAATTAATAATTGGATTCAGACAAGTAATTTTTTTTTTTCAAATCACCAATGAGAATGATTCTATTATGTTAAATTATTATAAGATGTTTTCGGAAGACGTGACTTAGCTAATGACAATTATAATTTTAAAAAAAACCTTTGAGTAATTATGTCAAAGACATTTTGGAGAATTATGTAAAATATCTATATTCACCGTTGTCATGGTAACAATTAGATGCGGGATGATCTGGTAAAACGGATGCAGTGTAATTTTACATACATAAAATTCTCCGTCTTCATTAGCCCGGTTCATGCTGCAAAATAGGACTTAAATCCTACTCCATCCATTTGTTTTTATTATTTGTAGTCGAAATAAGATACCTGTTAGACGTGAAGAGACTATATTAGTGAATAATTTACTTTCAATTTTATCTTGTAAGCGACCTTGCGTCTTAAAATATAACTTCAGCGTATTGTTCTCTTGATTGATTACGGATATGTATTTTGTGGTTGTACCCAAGACCGAATTAATATACTACTTAGGCTTTTTTTTGTAAATTCGGTGGAGTTGTCACTTAAAGATGCATTATGTGAGCTAAATCTGTGTAATGGATTTCTTTATTTTGGCTTGAAGTGTTATATAAACTATTATTTAGTCATTTATTAACTTTGTATCATATTATCGTTTATATTGCGTTTGATAATGACAAGAGAATACTTGTTGAAACGTTGCACTATTACAGTTGCTAGTGATTTTTATACATAAAGCTGTGTTTTTGTGATTTCAATGCCATTGGCCCATAACCAACTCTCTAGAAGATCGAATGGCAGAGATTTAAATGGGTTAAGACTCCCGCGAGATAATCCTACGATAATAATAAAAATATCTGTGCTACATCTTCCAACACCCATAACTTCGCTCAGAATTTGAATGAAATTTTATCTATTTTAGAACTATTATTGCAAGAACGACCAACACTCTTTATCTAAATTTTATATAACGCATCTTTAATTTATCTGAAGGACGCAACACATTTCATTTGAACCCCCTCCATATCCTTTTTTTGAAAAAAAATATAATGCGAAGTTATATGGGATTCTTTGCCGTATCAACTGAGGCTAAAATTATTATCGAATCGTTCGTTTAATTTAATCGATTTCTGATAATTCCTTTCAGAGTTATTGTCTTTGGTCACTTTCATAATCACCGTGATCTAATGTGTGTATTTTCGATCATAGGGTCTACTTGTTATTGAGTTAGAAATTGATGTAGTTTCAGCCCTGCTTGCACCTACCGAGGAGTAGCGTCGCCCCCCCCCCTCCTTTCTCTCTCTCTCTTCTACCCAAAATTATGGAACATTCTTTTTTTTCCTTAATACTAATAGACACTCAAAGATATCGGTTAATTTGACTTCCAGTGACTAATATTTTATCCTAAACACTGAAGATGAAAAGGGATTACATGACATTTTTATCTTTTTAGATAGCATGTACATGTAAATGATTAAAGAAATATTCTCTAGATATTGCAGAGAAATGAAATGAAATGGGGTTTAACGTCCTACTGTTCAGTTGGGCTAATACAGACGGACATGTACGTTACTTTACGTGTGCGCCAATGTGTACACGGGACCTAGTTGTTTTTTTGTCCCATCCATATGATGATATTGTAAAGCATGATCAAAATGCAATGAAATGGGGTTTAACGCCCCCCCCCCCCCTTTTCTTCGTCAACCGGGCTAATGAAGAAGGACAGACGTCATACAGTATACCGTGTGGGAAATTTTACCTGTACAACGGCGCTATACGCATACCATTATTACGAATTCCGAAATCCTCATACCTAGCATAATGACGTGCACTGTTTACAGTTACCCGACAGGCCCAATTTTTTAGGCCCTTGACTTTTTTTCTCATTTAACATGTCCTATAAATCGGTCTTGGTATAGTTTTCTGTAGGCACTGAAATCTCGGTACCATAGCAGTCCGTATCTGTATTATTTTACAGAACCTAACTCCAGGAAATAAATAATCAACACTATATGGTAATTAAAATGACATTACAGGGGCTGTAGACTGCAAAGTATCGATATAGTTTATTAAAAGATTCATTTATTAGTTCACTTATTTCTATCCAATCTTAACCAACAAACAATACGAAAAAAGTTTCCCGACTGATTGACCCTATTTTTGTGACCAAGTAAACGTTATCACGTGTATGTTTTTTAATTGGCCTATTTTTTTTATTTTTTTATTTATTGGCCTATTTTTTTAATCTTTTTTGTGGAGGTGCAGTTACTTCATGACTTTGGGATATATAATACCCAATTTCCACAGCTTAATCGGCGCTAAAATATACTAAAATTGTTATAATATTCAATTAAAAAACAAAATTAAAACATCAGCGGTTGGTAAGGCCCATTAAACGTTTTTACTCAAGACGCTAGCTTTTCATAGCGTCTGCGGAGGATGCCGAATGGTGTGAAAATTTCGGGAGATGCTAATTGTAGGCCGGTTGGGGAGGTTTGGGAATTTTCTGATTCCACAATGCCATGGCCGCTTTATATAAATGAGTATTTTGAGGAATACTAACCCTAACCCTTTTAAGAGGGGTAAAAGGGAAACTGGATCCAAGTCCAGTCTTCTAAAAGGGTTAGGGCTAGGGTTACGGTTAATATTTCCCAAAATACCCATTTATATAAATCGGCCATTGTGGACTTCGGTAATTCCCCCCCCCCCCCGCCCCACCACAACCGGCCTACAATTTATCTAAGCATCTCCCGAAAATTTGAAATGATCATGCGTATCGCTTTAAATACTGAACGGTACCGGAACTATTTTTTTGACTGATATTTCTTTTGGACTTCCAACTTCCAAAATTATGTAGTTATTGCATTTGGGGATTCTAAATCCATTAATTCAGCCATGGACTGTATTATAAGGTCCATGATATCCCTTTAATAATGGAAAAATAACACAAATCGTTTTGGCCTACTTTCCCTTTAAACTTTAACATAAAAGTCATTCATTATAAGTATGGCTCATGGACCAATAACAACCAATTAATTATGTAACAGTTATCTTATCAATCAGCAGGTAGTCCTACACTACTCGCATGCCATTCCATAGTCCACGTATAGTTTATGAGTAGGCCTAATTGTATAAAACCCGTATACAATAATAAAAAAAAGAGGTAGGGTGGGAAACCAGCGAGATCTGCCTGCCACGCGTGAACAATTGCATCATAATTTAAATGAAAATGGCGTGACCTGTCAGGCTTGTATTAAAAGCTGTCAGCCATAACCACACATCATTCATTAGTGGCTCTTGCAGAAAGTGGACGTACTCCCTATACCCAAGCGGAAGAATCAATCCACGTGTAGAAAAGTATCGACCGGATATAACGCAGCTGAAGCAGACGATACGAAAAGAAGTCGGGACACGATAAAGAATCTCGAAAATAAAGGTTTGGATTTCTATTACTGAATGTTGTGTGTAATGTTTACCCCTTGTCATTTCTAATCATTCAAATTTCATTTACATAAAATACGGATGTACGTATTTTCCCTGTTCGGAATAAAGCCGGTTGATTCCAGTAACGCTATGACTCCTTGCTGGATAACCATTAAAAAAAAAATCTCGTATTTTTCTCCCTGCAAGGTTATACGAAGTTCTAACATGGTCACAGGGTTGCGATAGGATAAGATAAAATTATGAAGACTGTTTTTCTTATGTCGGAGTAAATTTTATTGTCCAAGTCGACCTTCGATCACGTAACCCGAGGATAAACAGTTAATTGTGTAGCTTCGATTGTCCGAACTCATTCATTTGAGGTTTGATGAATACTCAACGTCGTACGATGAGTTGACCGACCAATCATAGTTGATTATGTTAAATAGCACACTAGTCTCGATTAACACGACGATTTGTTTACATTTATTACCTCCCTTGGATAAATAAAAGCTGTTTGTTTCTCCTCCCCCGCAAAGATTATGCAATTTATTTTAAGAATTATCACCGTTTGTATTTAACACACAAACGTTGTTTTAGCTCATTTAAACAATCGAATTTATATATCAGTAGTCGAATTGTCTGATGTAAAAAGATGAATTATTGCAATTTCGCGTAAACCTTTGACAGAGCTGCCAATTTCTTTAAATGGTGCTTTATCAATAAAAGATAACATCTCATGTTTGGTCACGCACAGGTCAAGTCAATATCATGCAAGGTACAAGGATAATATTTTATTGATGAAATGAAATGAGGTTTAACGTCCCACTTTTCTGATTTTATTTGTGAAGAAACGACTTGTAGGCGAAATTTTAATGAAATAGTAAGATTTTATATTTAGATAATTCCGACCAAATGACCAAAGAATGTCTTTTATCACACGGATATTTAGTACAAAGTATACATTTGAACTCTCGGTGAGTAAGACGTTGCCTCGTTAACCTGGAGGTCCCGTGTTGACCGAGAAAGTTCATCGGCATTTTCCGGCGTGGTCCCGGCCCTTGTCACTGGTGTAGCTATAGAACGGAGGGTCTGACAAGGGACACCGTATAGTCGTTCGGATGGTACGAAAAACCAGAAAGACAAATGGGGTTTAACGTCCACTCGACACAAACCAGACAAACCAGGTCATTTCGGGACTAACATGTGTTTTTTTATATTTTTATTTCAATAATTCGCTTGCGCGTAGGGGTCTTTAGCAGTGGGAGGAAACCGGAGGACCCGGGGAAAACCCACTAGGTTGGACAAGCGACCCTACTCCTTGTCACGTACATCCGGGGATTCGAAACCACGCCAGTTGACTCAATGACAGGCCGTATGATACAGCAC